CTCCTGAGCGGTGGTTGTGAATTGTCATCTCCTGGCCACCCCCTATTTATATACGAAGTCATAATAATGACACAAGTCATACTCACCACCCAGTAAACTGGTGAATTCACACACTCCTGAGCAGTGGTTGTGAATTGTCACCTCCTGGCCACCCCCTATTTATATACGAAGCATGATGTCTATGGTATATTTCACCAGCTATTCCATTGTTGTGTCTATTCTCCCTCTCAGCTTCCTTGGGAAGCTGGAAAGAGTCCTTAAAAAGTATAAACTTTGCTTAGTGGCAATTAAAACAACATGCAATATAGCATTCCTTTCACTAGAAAGAAAATTAACTTTTTCCCAGCTGAAGCCAGGACTCTCTGACACAGTGAATTATTTGCATGAAGTTACTTTATTAAACTACCTTTTTACCCCTGCAGCCACTCTCCTACTGAACAAACACACCCCATGGGAAAGCACCCCCATGAACACCCCATGCCATGCACAGATTGCAGGGGCATCCAAATGCTCATGACATACAAACCTTCCTAATTAGCTGTACCAAAGGCTGTTTTCTTCAAACCCAGCCACTCTGAAAGCACGCAGTCTATTCCTAACCAAGGCTTCCTAGCGCAAGTCTCTCCCACCAAGGCATGAAAGAAATCCCATATGTCCCAGCATGAAAATCCAGTCCCCACACTGGGGTATTGGTGGGGTTTGACAGTCAGTGATGGCAGGGCACAGCTTGGTGATGCACAGCTAAGAGGGGTGACCCAGGGACAGGGAACAGGAACGCCCTGTGGACTCACCTGGGCTGGTTGTTTTTCCATGGCCTACAAGTAACAAGGTCCCATCAGGTGTTATTTTACACTAAAAAATACAGGCATGAAGTTGGATGAGGTGCAAAATCCTGAGTTTGACTTGAAACCTTTCCAGAGAAAAGGATCAGAATAAGAGTTTCTAAAACTCCTGAGCAGGATCCAGAGGGAGGTTCAGATTTGTGAGGTGTGGCTCACTTTCATCCCTACAAGAGCAAGAAACACACCAAAAAATACAGTTTAATCTGTTTTCTATCTTGTGTTTTGCTGACAGCTCCGTAGGGGACCTCGGGAGCAGAGTAGCAGAGATATTGCAGGTACAGCTGTGAGCGTAATGGATTTTTCAGTTCATTTGGAAAACAAAACAGAGCTGTTCTGTGTTGACCTGAAACATTTTTTCCACTCTAATGAGAGAAAAGGAGCAAATACTCACCTTCAATCAACGGAAGCATCCTGTTTGACCCAAAATGAAAGCTTTCATTCTGTTTTCACGGTACTCAACCATTTCTTAATTCATGCTAAATTCGAAACAAGAAATAACGTCAAGCAAAATGTTTTGCATTTAGCTAAAGCATATTTCTTACCTTCTCTCCCTCATCCACAGCACTCTGCACTAACTAATAGTTCACAAACTATTTTTTTGTTTTGTTTTGTTTTGAACTGCGTGGAAACCTAAAGGGAAACCTTCCTGGAGGTCAAACCTCCCCTGCCCTCCCCACCTGCTTTGAGACCAGGCTGGCGATGCGTTGATGGCCCTGCAGGTAACTGCTTGCACAGGGCCTGCCTCCCCTTGCACGGATGTAATAACAGCACCAGCTCCCTCAAATTAGCAGCTTTAAACTCCTTTCCTGCCCCATCCAAATATCTATAATAAAGGCAATTCACAGCTCGAGAAAGGTGCACCCTCCCTACCCACTGATGGCTACCTGCTAATCAACTGCAGCCGTGCCCCCCCATCTACATCTTAAAATGTGTTATTAATGGGTTGGCGTCCCCCGGAGAACAGCGGGAGAACTGAAAGTAAACCGTCAGGATATGTCAGGATTTGAGTCACAGAGCAGCTCTAATTGAAATCTTCTCTGTCATTTACTCATCAGGAATGTAGAGCTCCTTCTTTGAATGAAACATTAGACACCGGCCTGACAGCTCCAGGTGGAAGATTATTCGGCAGCTTAATCGCTCCCTGACAGCCCTGGTTACTCCCACATCAGCATCTATTAACCTTCGTTTTATTCAGACCCTTTTTATGCCTTTTTAATCGGTGGCTCAGGGTGCTTTGGAGCAAGAGCTGGTCAGATCTCAGGCGGGACGGGAGAGCTGCATTTCACCGTAGCGGAGTTACTGCGTTTGACGGGGCAAGGGCTGCTGTCAGGTCACCTCCTCTTGGGTGGAAAACTTCAGAAAAGAGGTTGCCTTCTGAAACTGCTAATCCGGTCTATCTCCAGGAAGGAGATAACTGTTTTGCCAGAAGTTGGGATGTTATCAGAAACTTCAGACTTTCGGGGTGTACTGTTTAAAGCCCCAAGTCATGGATGAAAAAGGAACTGTGAAAAATTCAGCCTTAATTTAATTTTTTTTTTGATAAGTTAGTATCGAGCCTTTCTGTTTGTAGAGAAAAGCTCAAAACCAGTTGCGAGTGTACCCTCAAGGCTCAGACATTGGAAGACAGATAAAAAGAACCCAAAGTTTATCCTCTCTAAATCAAGACTGGATGTCTCTTGAAAATTGATGCTATAACTCAAACAGAAGTTATGGGCTTGATGCAGAAATTATTAGCTGAGGTTTCCTGAGCTGTATTATGCAGGAAGTCAGACTAGATGATGATAACAGTCCCTCCTAGCCCCCAAGTCTATGAATCCTTCTCCTGAGTATTTTGAAATTGTCCCCAAATTGTCCTTCCTTGCGTTATGAGCTTGGGTCCAGATTCTCAATGGTATTCAGACGTATAGCACCAGGTATGCATTTTTCAGGGGAAAATAAAGGAATTTTAGCCCCTCTATAACCTCTCACTCACCTGCCCCAATTCTTTCTGTTTGGTCTGAGCCCCCAGAGCAGACCCAGGGAGCCAGAGGACCGATGGCAATGGGCAAACTGAGGCGCTTTGGGCTTCCAGTTGCCCCAACCCAGTGATACAGGGCAGTTGCTTGTACCACACTGGTACGTGTGGGGCTCAGCTTCTCCTTATTGATACCACAGGTCTGACTCTCCCTCCTCAGCAGCTGTGAACCACATCGTCCTGCCGAGTGCCTGACACAACGTTTACTGAGCAGAGGAGAAGCAGAGCAGCCACCTCCAGCTCTGTATTCATGAAAAGGCTCTTCCCTTTGTCTGCTACCTTTATTCCTTCCAGTTCCATTTGGTGCTCCTCCCAGTTAGCCAGCATTTCCCTGTAACGCGAGGAGGCTGGCTGGCTGCCGGCTCGTCCCAATTATCCGTCGTTGCTGCACCACATGCTGCTCCACTTGACTCCTGGCTGTGCCCAGTCCTTCCCCCCCCATCCATAAACCCAGATGCCCAAAGATTCAACACTCATTTCCCATGCGATTTTGGCAGACTTCGCTCCAGCCTTGGTCCAGATTGCCTTTGCTGGCTCCAGTTGGCTTGGCAATGCCATAGTGGAGCCACCTCCAGAATAAATAATCCTCTTGTGAAAGGACACCAGCAGGGCTCCTGCTCACATCTTTGCTATATGCGAAAGTCAGGACCGATAAAACGTGTCCCAAGTTGTCTCAGGGGGGAAGAAGACACAACCTTCAAGTGGTGATGCCGTATTTCTGCAATGTAGCCCTGGAAACCTGAAATTCATCCTCTCACCAGGGGTTTCCAGCCCCATTAATAATCTGAAATAAGATTGAGTCGATGCCCAGCAGAGCTTCCAGCAAAGTCAGACAAGCCAAACCAGCATGCTAGATAAGGGCTGAGCATTGGAAGGAGTGAGGAAACCTGGGTAAAGGGAAAGAGATGGAAAGGACTGCTGGAGGGAACGCACACAAAGATGGATTTGATGGAGGAGAGAAAAGGCTGCCTGGTGAAAAGGAGAAGAATGTGTCCAAAGCAGGGGGAGCATGGCTGAAAGTATAACAGGGAGGATGAAGAGACGGAGGGAAGAGGAGAACAAAAGGGCTGTGAAATAGAAAAACTAGACATAGGAATAACAGTGGAGATCTGGAAAGGTCTGTGTTGGAGAGCAGATTGAGCTAACCAAGTGTAAGAAGCAAAAAGCCTGATGACTGCATACAGAACGGTACCAGTAAAGGAAAATAAAAATAGAACTGATGGCCTAGGAGCAGAGAGAGAGGTGAAAAATATAAAAAGACAGAATGGGCAAATTTTTATCTAATGAAGATGGGAGGTAACTTTGTGGCCTATTAATTTTTTTATATTGCAAATAGAGGTAAAAAGAGGGATTAATACAGCTAATGAATGGCAAGATTCAGTTTAAGTATGGATGCATACGCAGATAGACAGATATTCTGCCATTAAAACAAAAGGATGAAAACACCAGGAGGATGTTGCTGCCTTTCCAGAACAGCTCTGGTGTGATAAGGAACCATCACCACTCACCCAAGCACTAAAGCAACCAATCGGTCTGATGGGTCAGGGTCAGGTGAGGCAGGAGAGAACAGTAGTATGGTGCCAAGATGAGACAACCAGTAAAGCTGACCCTTAATCCAATGCCCTCCCCCCTAAAAATAACCATTTTGAAGATTCTTTGTTTCCCAGACTTGTATTTATCAGGCTTTGTAAAGGCACTGTATGGCACAACCTGAGTGTGGCATCGTGGGATGGAGAGTAGAACTCCTGCCTCACGGGTATCAGCTACGTTCCTCTTGATACACAACTGCCATTTCCCCTTCCATCTCCCATTTCCCTAAAGGCAAGAAACTAGAAAAAAAAGGCATTGAACTATTCCTCTTTCAATATCACCATATCAGATATACACATATCATTTTTTTCATGGAAAATACTCAGATTTAACACTGTTAGTCTCTCAGTAAGTTCATGCAAGGTACCGAGAGACATTTAATCATTGGGTTTGTCTTTATTTAATAGAGATTGTTTAACAGAGTCTGCAAATCTACTAAAATCACAGTGTTTCAGCATGTAATAAAACCACAAGGGAACTTGGGGTTTTTCATGCCAATTAAGCATCGATAGCCCTGGATCTGGAGGTCTTTCACATAGCAAGAGCTTGATTTTGGCTCTGCTGCTAATGAATAATAGCATTAACACACACACACACCCCTTAAGAACCTCTCCTTCACCAGTAAATCAAGTGGGGCACAAGCCCAGCATTAACACACACGCACACACACACACACACACCCCCCTAAGAACCTCTGCTTCACCAGTAAATCAAGTGGGGCACAAGCCATCACAGCCGGGTAGGATCCAAATGTTCCCAAATGTCAGTGGTGGAATTTAATTCAAACCTCCTCCTGACAAGAAAAGAGAGAATATTAAAGGAGCACGCCTGGATTTAGGTGTGACAGTAGCGTGCTGGCTGCTGGAGGAGGATGGAGACCTTTCTGAGAACTCTGAGAGAAGGTCAAGCACATGTATTAGGCACGTGCTGATTGCAGGAGATAATTTACTCGCTCCCAGTGACGGTGATCCCGGCTCTGCCCCCTGCATAGGGTTAGGGGAAGGATGAACATGTTTTGCTGGCAGCAGACGTGGAGTCCTGAATGATGGGAGTTTGACATGCTATAACCCCCTGTACAGTAAACCTTGAAAGGGGGTCAGGAGTGCTCGCTGTGAGGTGACTTTACCACTGCCGATTCTATCTGCATAGTAAGCGTTAAGATTATAATCATTATTTATGAGTCCCACAATGCAGCTCACCTGAGGAACGCAAGTAAAGAAAAAGCTTTGAAAGACAATGATTGCAGCTTATTTACAATGGCTCCACTGGATCACAGCACTCTCCAGATGCATGTTTAAGCAGCAGTAAAGGAAGCAAAAGCATTTTTAAAACCCACCTCTATAGCTGTGCATTGGTGACATGTATTTAAATCATCTGCATGCCATCAAACATGGGTTCCAATTTAAATGTCACTGTGGAAGCTCTTTCTCTTATCCCTTCACAAAGTCATTTGTCACCTTCCAATCTGTGGCAATGAAAGGAAGGGAACAGAAAATTAGACAAACAAATAAAAACTATGTTTTTAATGTAAAATGCAACCCTGGAAACCTCTTCTGTAGTTTTTTTAATATCATTCAAGAAAAAAGAGGGGAAGAAAACAAAACAAAACTACTGTTAAAGGAAACAATAGGCAAAGGAAAAGTCTTTCTCTTTGCTTAAATGCTAGAACTGATAATCAAATGAAATAACCATTATAGTTGATCATCTGCCAAAGTGGATGTTTACCCTTCTTTTTATTATCACCACTGTTGTGATAAACTTGAATAGGTGGGGGGAGGAATTAAGTGGTGAAGATTTTTTTCACAGTCTTTAATTCTAAACTCAAGAAAGCAGCCTCATTTTCAAGATCTGGCAATCTGACAGTCTTATATATTCCAATATTTTTTTTCAAGAATCCACAGTTTATGTGGCCCCCAAATTATAACATTCCTCTAAATATGAAAACCTTTTTCACTCTAATGCTTCTTTTGACCAGTAATCTTGTTTTTATCTTAGACAAAATATTGAGTATAATCCATAAGTAATATAATATGGTCTCCATAGCTGAAGGCACTATTAAACCATTATTTCAATTTTACACTGCAATGGCAACTATAGAACAGCCACACAAACATGGATTATATGATAGCAATGATAAAAATAATGGTTACCTTCAGTCACAGGGCCAAATGTACGACTCCTAAAGCATGCAACATTGCTCCTGATGCCAGATTATAACTTTCTGCCTTTTCACCTTTAGGGGGAAAATATATTAAGTCAAAACAATTTTCAGATTGGCTGATGGTAGATAAGAGATTTCTGATTAAAGTTCTTTATTATCAAATATGCATTTGGTTTGTCTTATCAGAGTGAAAGCTTTTAATTTTTCCCACAAAAGCACAGCTTCTGCAGTCTTGTGATTGAGATGAGAATCACTTTTCGTCTATAAAAATAACCAAGACTGTAACTTGGATGCAGATGTAAAAGAAAATGCTTTGAAAATATACAACCCGGGTTATAATACCGAAAGATGCATTAACAGGACTCAGAGTGTTCTTTCTAAAGTCTCATCATTTAATGCCAAACCCAGTTTTTGAGGGGAATCTTGAGTCGTAGGTGTACTCCCAAAATCTATTAAGTTCAGAAAAATTAGTTATGAGCTTGAACACCAAAGCCTCTCAAACTGGAGGACTTTTTTTCCTACAGATGTTTCTGGGCTCTGGATCAAGATGAAAATTTGCACACAAAATAAAGCATGCAATTTTACCACCAGAATAAGTCTCAAAGTCAAAACCAGTACTGGAAAGGGGACCTGGAGAACTCCATCACCTACACGAATCCTGAGGCCAGCATGAAGACAGAGGCAGGACCAGGCAGAGCCATGAGCACCCTGGCCTTACACCAGTTTTACCAATTATTAAACTGTGCTAAACACTTGGGTTTACAAGTGTTGTGGCCCTAATTCAGCCATACTTGTTAACATGTGCCCACAGCTCAATGTACCCAAACCTGATTATGCCAATTTACAGTCTCCAGGGTGGGCTGAACACTGAGAGCATCCATGCCACTGACTTCAGTCCTGCTTTGCTTTCTTACTCATGCACCACTGTAGCTGCTACTTTGGGTCATTTCTGAAAGAGATGGGTCAAAAAAGCACTGTGTCTCCCCCCGGTAATTTCTGCAGAAGTCTACCCGAGTAAATTTGTTTAAAACTTGCTTAATTTTCCCAGTGCAACTCTCAGGGACCTAGCTTTAAATACTTAAATTAAGAAATCAGTTGTTTAATTTACAGTCATCTAATTGGCGCATCTGTCTTTTACATTTTTGCACCAGTTACAGTTGCAAAAGGTACAGCAGAATAGCAAACAGCACTGAATAACAAACATAAGAAAATATTTGTCCATGGTCCCTGAATTAAAAAGCCTCACAAGTAACCAGAATGGGTGTGTAAACACACTGATCAGCTAAAGAACGTGGTTTGGGGTGTCAGCAATCAGTTGAGGTGCTTATGAGTGAATTTGGCATTCATGGAAGGAAAAGACTATTTGGTCTAGATCAAAGAATAGCAAGAGGGGCTCCCACTCAGCATTCCCAACAGAGCTAGAGGAATAATCCGCTCTGTGAATTTGGCCTCTTGTTCTCCAATTATCCACAGGCAGATGGTGATTTTGTTGTATTTGTTCACTATTGAAATTATTTGCTGGATAACTTCAGTAAACAATTCTTGCCCAATGGACTGCCAGTGAGCAGTTTGCCTAGGACTTTCAGGACTTGCTCTGGTTGGGTAACAAGTGAAGACCACCCAGAATCACTGCGGTCTCTGCTGGGATGAGCAGAAGCCTTAGAAACAGGTTTCCAATTAAAAAGGCTGTGATTTCAGTTTCACCATTGACTTTCTAGGAATATTTCTGTAAACTGACCTTTTTTCCATGAGCATGTCTAATAGTTATCCCAATGGCCAGAATTAGCCCAAGTACATGAAAAAGCACCTGAGTTCCCAATCCAGCCACAGCCCTGGTCCCTGCAGGTCTCTCTTTTCACTTCCCTACCCAGACATGAGGCTTTCAGCTCTTCCTTCACGTGAAAGGCACTCATCTGTACAATGGTCAACGTGGAGGAAATTTTAAGTAACCTGTGACTGCTTATGCACTCTTTAAAAATATTTTATCATCCATTAAAATAAAAGCTTTTCAGAGAAAAGTGACATTAAAAACAAGCCCACTTCTCCTCATCGCCTGGGTTCCTCAGTCTCTGCCCAGCCTCTCTGATGACCCATCTCTCCACAGGTCTCCTGGTCCCCCACCTCCTCCTGCTGGGGGAGGCTTTTAGATGCTGAGTGCTCCTTCGACCCCCAGGTTCCCTACTTCAGAAAAACCACACTTGCTACTTACCACTTAGCAGCGTTAAAAGACAGACACAGGTCCTTGAATCCAGAAGGTTATCCATTGTCTGTCAAGCAGATGGATGAAGAGATAATATTGGAGAAACTGTTTAGCTTCATGCTTGAATTCCACTGCATCTGAGCATCAGTGAGGTATTATAAATACTCTAGGACTCCAAGATTATCTAAATCAATAAAGTCATAGGGAAATTCCCATTGGGTATCACAGCTCATGTAATAACTATACTTGTCTAAACGGGCAGCCTAAGATATGCACATTACATTTCTATTTGGGGGGTAATTTACTTAACCTAGAAGAGTCTACCGATCCCAAGGATTCTTTAAAATTTAGAAAAACTGTTTTGCAGTTTGATTTCATACCATATAAGTTGCCCAGTTCCTGCCAACAAATTGTAAGCCTACCCCATTTTTCCGGATATGGATTTCCACCAGGCAGAAAGAAATTACTTTTCTTATTTTATAGGCCATGAGAAAAATCACTGATCTCAGGACTTAAATGCTGGCCAGTAAAGCAAATGACCATTCAAAGGAGAATTATAGAAGCATAAGGAATTGCCAATAAATAACACACTGATATCAAAACCACAAGGTGAGCTACCAACCACGTACCGACATTCTTACCACTGAGCTCCTAAACAATCCTGGCAGCAACTCCCAGGAGGATGAAACTATATATTCCAGTGACTCTGAAAAGGGCATTGCAATTTCTTAATGAACAGCCTGCATATCAGGAAATCATTGTCTATACACAGATGTAGAAACAGATAAAGCCAGGAGCTGAGGCTCATGAGATGCTTGTTTAGCTTTAAAGTAATGTAGAGATATGCTGAGCTGGCAGTTTCCAGTGTAAAGCACAGCAAGAACTGAACTAGTTGAATTAGTGAAAATTCAGGGGTTTGTAGCTCAGCATTGCCTAAGTATGGATGTTAAGAGTGGGAAAGACCAAGTTACTTCTCTTGGAAGGCTGAGTTTGGAATTGCAAAGGGCCAGACATCTGTGGAGGCCCACCAGCATGTTCTCATGACAGAGCTGTGCAATTAATTTCATTGTTAAACAGAGGCTTCTCACAGTACAATGCTGCCATGCTTTTTCCTGGTGTAGGAAGCTGCAGAAGAAGGTGGCATATGTTTATGGGGGGAGGACTTAAGAGTTGAAGTCTTCTCTCATTTGGATGTTACAGGTAAGTGTTCAAAGGAATAACCAGTCTAATTTGAGTCCCTTTGTAATTAAAGGAGAAACTCAGCCTGCTCTGAAGCAGCATTTCAAAGAGGAACCTAATTTAGCTGCTCCAAGTCATATTCTAGATGTGCTCCCCCTGCTCCCCATTGATTACAGAGGGAAGCAGAGGAGATCAGGTAGCTAACTTAATTGATTACATTAGATGTCTGAAGATGCGTGGCACAAATGTCCTGCAAAATGCCCTAGAACAAAAAGAGTAACACAATTTCCAGGGCTGTGTAAAAGACCTTGAACTGTATCCAACCCAAATTGCACAATCTTCTGAACTGCTGCCGTTTTTCGGTAGCTGATGCTCCTAACAGTTCACGGCACAAAATATTGTTCAAGTGCTGCAGAATAGCTTAGCTCTGAAGCAAAATAAGAAGTCACAATTAACTCTGAAATCCTGGATGAGGGCTTTTTGTTTTTTCCTAGTGGCACTAGAATTCAATATAGAGCACGGCAGGGGGCTGTCATGGTTTAAGTCCAGCTGGCAGCTAAGCACCATGCAGCTCCTCACTCACTCCCTTCAGTTGGGTTGGGGGAGAGAATCAGAAGAGCAAAAGCGAGAAAACTTGTAGGTTGGGATGAAGGTATTTTAATAGGTAGAGCAAAAGCCGTTCAGTTGGGTTGGGGGAGAGAATCAGAAGAGCAAAAGCGAGAAAACTTGTAGGTTGGGATGAAGGTATTTTAATAGGTAGAGCAAAAGCCGTGCACATGAACAAAATAAAACAAGGAATTCATTCACCTCTTCCCATGGCGGTTCAGCCAGCCCCAGGACAGCAGGGCTCCATCACATGTAACGTTTACTTGGGAAGACAAATGCCACCAGTCTGAAGATCCCCCCTACTTTCCTT